ATTTACTGAGGCCGTAAAGTATTCTATGAGTTAGGTTATTGCTATGAATTGATTTCAATTTTATTATATTAATTCAGATCATTGGTATTATAAATTTAGTTTGCTTTTTTATAATTTAATTATGCATTTTTTAAAAACTTGCTTTTACCAAATTATTTATCTGGTTTATTTAATCAATTGATTGTTGGTACCTATATATTAAGCATGTTTAATAAATCTTTGGATATTATGAATCAGATACATTCTATTAAATTTGATCAAGTGCTTGCAAAATTAAGGCCTATGATATTATTTAAATTTACTGAGGCTGTTAAAATATTCTATGATCTAGGTTACTGCTATGAATTGAATTCTATTAATTCAGAACATTGGTATTAAGAATTTAGTTTGCTTTTTTATAATTTAATTATGCATTTCATGAAAACTTACTAAATCATTTATTTGATTTATTTGATATTTTGAATCATGGTTATTAAACCAATTGGGAATTAGTATTATATATTATCCTTTAAACTGTCTAGCAGGCAAATTTGCCTGCTTAAATTATTTTTTAAAAGATTTTTTAAGTTTTCTTAAAATTTATTTAAGCTTGACCCCTATTTATTGAATAAAATTAAAGATATTTCTTTTATATATAATATATTTAAATTTTATCATTCTATATTATTACTCGTATTGGCAACTTTCTGGCAATAAAAAGATGCCCGATGTTTATTCTTTTCATCTCCAATTCTATTTTCATAGCAAAGTTTAGAGCTACTTTGTTCATCAGAATGTTCACGTTCAACAATATTCTCATAATATTCGAATACCTTATAATCTTTCTTTTCAGTTCTATTTCTATTTTGAAAACAGTAACCAACTGATTTTTGACAATGTTCAAATGACTTCTTTTTATGCGAGCCCTCAGGTATGATTCTGATCTTAACTTCATTTTTTTGATTCAATTCATCAAATTTCATATTCATAACTTCACTTTTAACGTACAATCGAATTTGCGTCTATAACCTTCCAGATCTTTATCCGCTATTTGAATATCAGGTATGTGTTCTTCATTGTGTTTATTTCTATTGACGTTTTTTTATTCACCTTACTAACGATTCTATTCTTTTTCTTTTTGTTATCATTCATCGTCAATTTACTTTTAACACACCTGATATCTACTAATCGGTTTCTTCTTTCGTCATCATATTTTTCAATCACCATTTCATCAATTACAGGTTCTT